TGGGGACTCAGTGTGCAGCTCCTCACCCTCCCGCTGCCCCACCCTGCAGAACACAAAAGTCCGCAGTCACATGGCCTCGTGCACCATGTGTGCAAGCACGTTGCACAGGAGCAAAGTCATGGAGCAACCCTGGGTGACCATCTACAGACGAATGGAAGAGAACACTATGGAGTATGCACAGGGCGGGTTACTCACCATATAAACATGACATCATGCCATTTGCAGGAAAGTGGATGCATGGGAAGAGCATCACATTAAGTGAGAAAAGACTCAGAAAAACAAGTGCATGTTCTCACTCAGATTAGGAAGGTAGAGGGGAAAAGGGGGGAAAATCACATCAAAAATGACTAAGGGAGGTGCACGCCTCTGTGATGCAGAGACTCAGGAAGATGGCAGTTCAAAGTCAGCCTCCGCCACTTAGTGAGGCCCTAGCAACGTAGCAAGATCCTGTATCTGAATAAAAACTGAAAAGGGCTGGGGACGTGGCTCAATAGTGAAGCACCTGGGTTCAGTTCCTGTTACCACAGAAACCTACACATAGACACCGCCCCCACACACACACGCACACCCTAGAGCAAGGGAGCCCCGTGAGGTGGGGGACAGGATGGGAACGGAGGAGAAGGGGAGGTCGTGGTCAGTGAAACCCAAACAGGGGTGTCCTGTGCATGTCCTGACCAACTGACCACACTGCACACCTGATAGGCCCCCAGTTACACAAAGAAAAGGAGGATGGGGAAATCAATGGATTAAGTTGGCACCACCCAACAGAGCCAGAGAGGCTTTGAGAAAGGCAGAAAGAAGGAAATAAGAACCATATCAAACAATGTAATTTGAGAAAATACATAAACAACATAAATGTATAAAATTGGCCCTTCAAAGCCCAGGGACTGCAGGCACCTTACAACAGGGGCCAAGGGCACCACAACACGCAGGGAACACAGAGCAGCAGCCCTTCCAGCGTCAGGGCGCCCAGGGCCAGGCTGCAGCCAGGACCCACCTGACATGTTGCAGCAGAGAGGACAGAAGGACCTCAGCCTGGACCTCAGCCAGGACCTCAGCCAGGACCTCAGCCTGGACCTCAGCCTGGTCCTCAGCCGGGACCCACTGTCCTGTGTGGACCTAAGTGGGAACCTTAGCCGGGACCTCAGCCTGGACCTCATCCAGAACCTCAGCCTGGACCTCAGCCAGGACCTCAGCAGGAACTTCAGCCTAGAACTCAGCAAGGACCTTAGATTGCAGGTGCTTCTGGACACGCAGGGGACCCTACCCTGCAGGAGAAGTCCAGGGGCAGCACAGGGTCCCATGGACAGGGTGGAGCAGGTGGCATGAACCACAGCCACTGCCCCAGAAGAAGGGCTTCACGCCTCTCATGCAGGTCCTGCACCCTGTCCAGGAGGGCAGCTGTCCATGGGGCAGGAAGAGACACACAGGACGCAGGTCATTGGGAGGAGCAAGGGCCGTGGTCCACGTCCCCTCTGGGAGCTCTCCTGGGCTGCACCAGGTCCCCACACCCTGGCTGGCTGCAGACACGCAGGAGGCTCTGGCCTGTGAGCTGCTGTTCACTCAGCTCTAGGGGCAGAGGACGGCCACTGTCACTGGGTGGAAATCAGGGGCAGCCGGACCTGCCCCTCCTGGCTGCCCCTCCCAGGTTCAGTGCTGGAGATGCAGCCTGCCTGCTCCTCAGCCCCCTCCGCCACGGGGGGACATACGGCTCTTTGGCATTTTGTAACCCACACACGATGAGTTCAGCTCTCTGGGGGACACTGTGAGGGCCAGGCACGCTCACCCTGAGCAGTGATGAATCAGGTGCGAGGTCACCTGGGGCAGACCCTCACCCCTGCTTTGTAAACCCTCCTGACCTTCTCCCCTGTGCTGAGGTCTGGGTGCATTGTTGTGGGCTCAGCTGTCCTGCTGGGCAGTGGGACAGAATCCCCTCCTGCTGTGTCCAGCCGGCACTGTAGTGTCCTCAAATGTCCCTGGACTCCCTTTGCCCCATGGTGTGTCCCCTCTGTGTCCTCTGTGCAGTCCGATCGTCCCTCCGTGAAGTCAGAGGCACACTAAGGGTGGCTTTTAGGGCAGCGTGTGACCCATGAAGTGAGGGGCTCCAACCCAGCCACAGGCCCTGGACCCTCTGTGGCTGCCACTAGAGCAGAGAGCAGATGTGACCAGGTTGCGTCCCAAGCTCAGGGTCACTGTGAGGCTCACTGTCCCCAGGTTGACAGGATCCTGTCCTGAGAAAGGGTCATGCAGACCAAGGAAGCCAGCTTGTGGAGGTGCAGCACGGAGTCCCCAAGCATGTCACTGCAGCCATGGTGACAGGCCACCCTACGTGACTCCACCCACTACCATGTGCACACGACACCACAGACGGGCACTGGACTAAAGCATCCCCAGCATCATCAGCAGGGACAGCGCTGGCCTGCTGTCACCTCCATGCGGGAACCCTGCTGTGCCACTGAGGGCCTCACACACCCGCCAGCAGGGCCCCTGGGTGACCCTGTGTGAGCAGCCCGCTGCGGCCCTGGGCAGGGT